TGAATCTATAGAATTAAAATAAAAAAAGTTCATTGAATTTAATAAGGTGATTGTCAAGATATTTTTATTTAAAGTTTCAAAATTTTTATTTTTGCTAGGGGGTATGAATATTAAATGTGGGGGGTACAAAAATTGGGACCCAAAATAAATACTAAAAATTTATTGCTTTGAGTAAATAAAGTAATTTATAAGGTACAGTATTAAAAAGAATACAAATGGTATTATTGTGCATAAAAATTAATTTGGAAGATTAAATTTTCTTACTATTTGGTATTAGCCATTATATTTTTTGAAGTTGACAATTCACCTAATTCTATATCCTTTATTTCTTTTTTTAATTCGGCAATTCTTTTCTGTTTTTCTAGTAACCTAATTTCCTTTTCTAATTCTAATTCTTCATTCACAACTTCGTGATCTTGAATATTTTGAATTCCGTCTACATTGCTAACATTTGTTACTACTGTCAAGTTTTTCATATCTGTTACTATTTGTTGAATTTGTGCTTTTTTACTATTTAGATTGTTCTTAATGACTATAACTAGACAATAAACAAGAGTAGTTAAAAAACAAATAGAATTAAAGACAATAGCAGGAATAAATACGCTCATAACGCAATTATGATAAATATCAGTAAAAAAACACTCGCAAATACTATAACCAGTACCGCAATTACAACTAAAATAGCAATCTTGACCTTCACAAAAAAGTTTTGGACATTGTTGTTCAGCAAGAATTCCATAAAGTAAAGTAAAAAGTCCAAAGCCAGCCGGCACAATCCAATACCATTTATTCATAATTATTTTTGTTTTAGAATGTTACTATTGTTTTTCTGCTTAATCGATATTTTCCGTTATAATTTGTTCACTTTCTGCTTCTATTTTTTTGTCACCTTAATTTACTACCAGAAATTGGCTTAAAAATTTTAGAATTTTTACGAGTAATTTATTTTTATGACTATAAATTCGGAAATAGGTTTATACAGCTCCGTAAACAGATTCAAAAAGGATAGTTTTACAACGTACCTACTGTACGTACTGTACGAGGATTTAAAAACATTTAGGACAGCATTAAGAATTCACAAAATAAACAATGCAACTTGTTAAACTTTCCTTTTTAAGAAAATGGTTTGCAAGTGAAAAGCATCATAAGGCCATTACTGAGATACGTATTCGGTGTTACGATCAATTTGCAACGTTAGTACAAATGAGGTTCCAGACTCCTCAGTAAATGTTGGTCGGAATTTACAGATATCCTAAATTGGCAGTCAGTACTGCGTATTAACCACTAGATTTACTTATTAATTAATTAATTAGTGTAGTACCAACCTTAATTCCGACATGCTAATGGTCAGATAGATAATTGTGTTGTCGGAGGACAGCATCGTTGAGGAGGTTATACAATTTCTCTTCAATAATACTTACACATGTATATAAATGCTAGTTTCCCAGAATGTGAGGGTAGAGAAATGTATGCCCTTTGAACTCCGCTCCTAATAAAGTGAATTCTCATGACTCGCCTCTTCTAACAAATTACCTGTCTAAACGCCGTCTTATAATAAATGTTTTAATTATTGTAGGAATCTTGAGTTTTACCCTGATTCTAAATGACCTTGTCTATGACCCGACGTATCACATCGTTTACCACCCTGATCTATCTCGGCACTATCCTATCTGACGCTCTCCCAAATTCGGAGGGTAACATCGGATATATCTGGAATAATATGCAGAGAGAGACAATATATCTGATTTGATATAAATGATATATGGGGGCTGCCAGTAGAAACCAAGCAAATCGTTTTTAATGAGTTTTTTTAAAATTTCAAATCAAAATATCTCAATAACTATTAAACCAAACTTAATAAATTTTTTTTATTTTAATTCTATAACTACATAAAATTAAAATAAAAAAATTTTTAACAAGTTTGGTTTGATGGTTGTTGAGATATTTTATTTTAAATTTTTAAAAAATTTTACTTAGAAACAGTTTGCTTGGTTTCTACTGGCACCCCCATATATAGTTAGGGTCCGGAATGGGCTAGGCTAAACCCGTAAACTTGTGGGTCGAGCCGGGCTTGGGCCAGGTTCGGGCTTATATTTTGAGCCCGTTATTATTTGGGCCGGGTTTGGGCCAGACCCAATAAAATTATTGGGCTTTTTTAAAAAGCCCAAGCACGGCCCATATACCCGGTAATCCCCCTAGTAAAATCTATTGTATCGCATTTAGGCCGTTTGAATTTAAAATTTCATTTAACATTATATTTTTATATTTATTCAGGGGGAGGGGAAAAATTAAACAAACAGTAAAATTAAACGAGGTTAGATGAACCTAAATTAGGTTCAAATGAACCTAAATTAGGTCCAACTAAACCTAAAGTAGGTTCAAGATAGATATAAAAAAAAGTGTTCAAATATAGTTATTAAATTTATTTAATATAGATATACCCGGTAATATTCTTAACATATTTTGTTACTTATATACTGTAATGTAATTGTACAATACTAAAAGAATTATAATTGAGACTTCCGTTTTTTACTTATATTAATTTTACTAACTTCATTGCCTTCTTCGCTACTACTACTAATTAATTCACTATTATTTAATTTACTATCATTTAATTCACCATTATTTAATAAAGTAAATTTTTTTTGTGCTCTTTTATGCCATGATTTTCCATTATTTTTACAAAATTCGCATAATGGATATATAGTTTTCCATTCATTTTTTAACATATTCGAAGGTTCTACTAGATTTTTGGATTCTTCACACCAATAGCAAATATCAAACTTTTTAAGCCGCAATGAAAAGTATGTTGACTCACATGTAAGATTTAATCTAATACTTATTTGATCTGAAAGTTCATGATGTTCTGGTAATAATTGTGATCCACATGTATAGCATAAACCATCAAGAGTAGATTGCAAATTAATTTCCTAATCATTTGTTAAAATAGCACTACTATAAATACATCGCATTTTACCACAATGTTCACATAAAATTGTATATCGAATTTTTTGATTAATAAATTGGCCTGAATTTTGTTTTTTTCAACTATCTCTTCAGGTGTAGTTATATTCATTGCTGATGGGTGAAACTTTTCTGATGTTAATTGGCTATAAATATTATCAAAATCTTTATAATGGTCTTTATCTATTAAAAATTAACAATTAGCTAATAAATTATTTTAATAAAATAAGAAATAAAAATTAATATTTGCCATTTTCTAATGGCTCAGGATCTGGAATAAAAGATAGTGTTTAAAAATCTTCTCATGGCATTCAAATTTTTTTACATACTTTACATTCATGCCTATTGCATTTCATTATCTACAAAATTAATAAATTACAATTTAATTAATAAAAATATATTAATTTATAATATTTAAATATATCTGAAACATATAATTTCTAACATGGCAGTGATTTTTAATAAAACTTTGATAAGAATTTCTTTTTTGTAATTGATTGATTGTAGTCATAGATTTTTCTAATTCAGGATCAATTCTGGCTATTATCTTTGTAGTAAAATAATAAATTTAAATAAATTTTAGTAAATTTTAAAATTAAATAAAAAAATTTATTACTTCAAAAAATATATCAATATCTTTGTTAGATGCTGGATTATTTATCTCAAAATAATTATCATGTAATTTTAGTCATCTAATTCGATCAAATAAAATATTTTGAACTTTTTTAATTGAAGCTTGTAGTTCATGTTTTAGAATATAATTTTTTTGTACTTCTTTACGAATTGTATCTAATGAATATAATTTTTGAAAAATATTTTCTGACTCATTAGACATTTGTTCACGTTGAAATGCAACTCCCTGAAAACCAAGATTAAGAATAAACACTATTTGCTTAGCAGGATTTGCCAACTATGAAAAGATGCTGTACGTGCAGCAATAACTAAATCAAAATCGCCATTTAAAAAAAGTGCTATAAGTGAAATCTGAACAGAACCATAATTACATCGATGATCAGGACCCATCTGTATAAATTATAACAATTTCTGGTAATGAGTTAGTATTTAAATATTGTTGTTCTATTGAATCATAAAATTTAGTAGTATATCGAAGAGCTAAGCTAGCTTGAAATATATTATCCTTTAATAAAATATAAACTTGTCTATCATAAAATAACTGAATTGGATATCAGGAATTTTGACAAATAAAGATACAGAGAGAGTAATTGAGAGTTTTGTAAAGTCATGATTAGCTGCTGAAATTTCTGTTTGTACTAATATTGCCATTTTTTTATTTCAAACTCCAGTACTAGTTGGTATTCCTTTTTCAATTGAAATTTTATGTTTATCATCTGCAAAAATAAAACAAGTATATTTTATATTTTGATGCAAAATAGCAAATATATCTAAAAATTGTATGGCAATAGTGAATATCAATAAGAGTTTTTCTTAATTGCCTAGTTTGTACTATATACTTAATTTGAAAATGTCCTATATACTGTGTACTTGCTTTATACCAAGGATTTATTGAACAAAACTGATAAGAAATCTACCGCTCAGATGATATTAAATGATTATCTAAAAGAGAATACTTATTATATTTATTTTCTAAACATTCAATAATAGATTCTTATAGATCATGAATAGAAATAAAACTTGGTAAATAAAGCATATTATTATAATGTCTTTCATGTACTGATAGATTATTTTCTTCAAAATAACATGCTAATTCATTCCAAAATTCATTAAACTTAGTTTTTTAAATCTATTATTTTTATGCATATCTACAATAATTTCTAGATCTCCAAGTTCAAGCATTATTTGAATTCTTTAATTAATTTCAACAGAATTTAAATTATCAAGCATACTTGAATCATTAACTAAATCATGCTAAAGATATCATAATACACTTGGAGTAACTTTCATAATTAATAAATACTTATTTAGAAAAGTAAATTATAATTTATTTTTATAAACATTAATTTTGTAAATTATATAATTAAAAATTAACTTTTGCAAAAATATTTCTTCTCATATATCATGTAAAGAATTGAGGTAGCATTGATTGGGTTCGAATTATTGCTTGTGCATTTTTAGTTTCATCTCGTAATTCAAAATTCTCAGAAATTTTCTAAATAAAATTTAATGACCCTAAATAATTTTCATTATGATACTGATATAATAAAATTACTAAATCAATAGCAAAATTTGATAAATAATAAAATTATTTTTCTTTACTTTCAGGTAAAAATTCTTCAAGTGATATAATTTTATATTCATCTGCTACTTTAACTCGTTTAGAAATTAGAAAATAAATTTCTTGCATACTATCTACTATACATGAAGATTGTATTTCAAGTTTACTATCAGTTTCTGGACTACATGCTGGAATAGATAATGATTGAATTTCTTGAACTTGCTAATTAACTGTCTTTAAATAATTAATATATATACGAACTACTAAATATAACTCTAAAGTTGCAGTTATAATTTTATTCCAACAAGGTTTGCTCAGCTATAGTTCTAAAATACAATTCTCTAATTTACTAACACAAGTTCTAATTCTTTACACCTTAATATAGTTTTGTGATGTGACCTATTTTTATAATCCAAATTTTGTTGATATAATAGTAATTGAAGAAATATTGATGGTATATTATAACTACGCAATTTAAGAGTTTTGTGCTTATCAATAATATAATAAAGAAGTGATACAAGTTTATTAATAAATGATATACCAACTAAATTTTGTTTTCTATATTCCTAACCAAGATTTTTACTACATAGAAGCTTTAAAAAATTATTATATAACTAATCATTATGATTTGTTGAA